TCCCTGGCTTATGCCTCTCTTGGGTCCACTAGCAGCAATTTTTTTGCCTTTTACTAATTGTGCCTTGCCTTTTTTGATACCTAAAAAAGATTCTCATGGAAAGGCTGAGGACCTTTACCAATCAAACTGTCAACCAAATGCTTCCCAGACAGTACCCAGTCAAGCAACAATTTAAGGACCCCTATTGACTACTTCACCCCTTCTCAGCGGGAAGTAGCACCAGAAGAAACAATAGCCACCCATGCTGCTCCTGAACTGGTACCCGCACCTATCAAACAACAAAGGGGGAATGTTAGTGTGTCCTCCCCCAGTTTGGTTTGACTATCTCCATCTTAGGTCCTCTGACTTTCCCTGAAATCAGGTGAGCAGGCCAGGCATAATTGTTAGCCCCCATCCTATTCCCAAAATGACAGTTATCTCTAGTCTCCAGCTACATCAGTAGAGTGTTGTCTACCCAGGTCTGACCACAGCTGCTGCCCTGCCTTGGCTGTGGGCTACCTCTGCTGTCCAGCAGAGCACTCCCCTGCCCTGAGAGGAATCCTCCTGCCTCTAGCCCCTGGACCATGAAAGATACCTCCTTGTTCGGGACAGGCTGCTACTCTCTATCCCCAGCCCTAGCTGACATTAAAAACTCCATTCTCCGAGCATGACTGTGTCTCCATGTTGTTGTTGTTGTTGTTTTTGGGGGGGGTGGCGCTTTCATTTTCCCCTTGGGAGAATAGGCAGAACACAGCCCCCCATCCTTCCTCCCAGAAATCAGTTTGTCACTGATTTTACTTTACATATTGCCTGCCAGGTTTTTTAGCAAGTTCCATAGAACCTACTAAATTTTATGTATCTACCACAGGGGAGCCTCAGGACATTTCAGGATTCATCTCTGGTTGTATTTCCCATGAAATAACTCTCTTTCAGAGAAGAAATATTAGGCTACTCTGTTTTATGTAACTTTTATTAGGTGGACAACACAGTGCAGAATACAATGTTTCACCTTTTGTAAACAGACATTAATAGCCTTGACTTTGAGCCTCCCCCCCACCCTTTATATGAGCCAGAATGACCACAATACAGTCTGGCCAAGTGAACTACAGGGAATCATGAATGCAGTTTAGTAGTAATACACACCAATATGCAGAGGTTTCAAAACTTTTTTTTAAAGGATCATTTCCTAACACTATCATTTGAGCTCATCTTCACGACTTTATGGAATAAAATCAAAAATGTTAATTTTTGTTGTTCTCCATCTGCTGTCAGCATTCATAACAAGTGATACAGCAAAAAGAACATGTGGACTTTTCTTTAAAAGGTTTCAGTCATGAAAAAGAATTTAACTTATAGAGTACCACTTTACTAAAGACTATTAAGTTGCAATTATGATACTTTTCAAGAAGCCAACTTGTCAAAGAAGAGCTGATGGTTTCATTTTTTTTTGTGTTGTGGTATTTATTTTCCTTTTTGTAGAGATCACTTGTAACACTGAAAATCCTATAAGGAAGTTTTTCTTCTGTAGGGCAGGGAAAGAAGCACTTCAAGATACTTATAACTTTCAGGAACTGGAACAACTACTGATCACAAACTGCATGCTTAAGTGACAGTACTTTTTTTTTTTTTAACAGTCAAAGGGGAACCAAAAACACAATACATTTAATTTAAAGCAGGCAGAAAGACCAATCACAAATTATTATCTATTATATTGCATGAATAACACAATAACATCTTCATACATCTTTGAGAGGTTTCTCCGTACTTGTGAATAGGGCTGAAGTGCCAGTGATTGCCTAAAAGGAGCCATTTCATCCCTAAGGCTCAGATAAAAACCTCAGTTAGTGGTAATTGCACATTTCAATTCCCATCTCCTTTTAAGAGGCTTATTCTGGACAATTACTGAGATCAAGACCTTTAAAACTTCAATTTCTGCAGTCACTGCAAGACAACATTGAACTTGTATTGAACTTGGAAAGTGGTCATGACTCATTCCACACTAAACACTGAAAATTATCATTATTTACATTTGCAGAAAGATTTCCTTCTCAACCAAGAGGCTCAATGTTCCCCTGCCTCCCCTCCCCGACAGAGGATCAGATTAAGAGTTGTCAACACACTTTGTCCTAAGGGGTCATGTTTTTGTTCAACAAGTATTTATAGAATGCTGGCAAGCCAGCAGTAAATAAAAACACTTGCTCCCACAGACCTATTTACTCTGGACTGACATGTGCAGAATAAACTGAATGCAAACCTACACCTTCCATCTGATTCTTACAGGTGAACTAATTCCCGTAGGAATAGTCATAGGGGCTCAATGACCCCCCACCTTAGCTCACACTTGTGTAAAGAGGAAATTGATATGTAACCAACATGCAAACCAGACCCACTGAACTGGAAAGTTCCTAGCTTGTTCACAGTACAAGTACAAAACAGGATGACCCCCCGCCACGCCCGCTTTGAACTAGAATCCCCGTGTTTCAGCCTCCTGAGTAGATAGGATAATAGGTAGGCTTGAGCTACCAGTGTCTCTTGCCCCTTAGGCTTGAACTGGAAGACGGTACTAATGTGTAAGCCTTGTGATCTGGAAGGGAACAGCAGCCAGGACTGGTGGCCTGGCTATCACACACACTGCTGCCACTCCCTCCTTACTGATTCCGCTCAGTCTGACTCTAGAAAAATGACATCAACTCAACACTCGAAAGTGTGCAAACATGTTACATAAACAAACATACTGCTGCTCTAAGGTTGTAGAATTACATTCTCAAGGACAAGAGGCAGCTCCTCTGAGTGGAGCTTGATTTTCAGCCATGAGCCACTTATCTTAGATGACAAAGACCTCTGGAGAATATTTAAAGTGGTATGTACTGCCTACAGTCAGACCACTCTGAATGCATCCCATTTCTTCTAAAATGCGTCCACCTGAGCAGAGTGCCTGTAGCTTTAAAAATGCTGCCTACAGTTTTCACCTCCACAGGAATGACCTTTGCCTGGTAAGAGCCCAGGTGTTCTGGCACACCAATTTCAGACTGACCTGTGCTGGTCCCAGGCGCCACAGGTGAGCTGTCTGCGGCAGGTGAGCTCTGTAGCAGGTGAGCTCTGCAGCCTGTGGCTCACTGCAGGCACAGCAGCCCCGCACCAAGTGAACCAGCTCGCTTCAGACCTGTGCGCCCTGTGAAATGCAGTGCGTGCTTTATAAAAGCAATTTGATTTGCCGTCAGAAACTGGAGCCTGAAGATAGTCCTCCAGGTTAGGTAGCGAATGGAAGATTTCACTTTCTAGGCCAAAATACTGCCAGGCCCCACACTAGCCTTCTGGAACCCTCTCCATGGTTCATCAAAGCTCCACATGGCCACAGGGATATTCTCCCTTCCCTCATGTGGAAAGGCACAGAGATGGCACCAGAGCCCTTCTGGTGCAAAATCACTCTGTTGTGCTCAAACTTCAACAGAAGATTTGTAGCTAAAGAATTTTAAGAGGAGGGCTGGGAAGGTGGCTCAGTGGTAGAGCGCTTGCCTTGCATGCATGAGGCCCTGGGTTCGATTCCTCAGCACCACATAAGCAAAAAGAAAAAAGCCGGAAGTGGCGCTGTGGCTCAAGTGGTAGAGCGCTAGCCTTGAGCTGAAGAGTTGAGGGACAGTGCCCAGGCCCAGAGTTCAGGCCCCACGACCGGACCCAAAAAAAAAACAAAAAAGAATTTTAAGAGGAGTATAACTTAATGTAAGCTAATAATAATAGTAAAATAACTTTAAGAGGACCATCTGCCTTTAAGAAAATGTATAGTAAGCTGAGCTCCAGTGGCTCACCCCTGTAATCCTAGCTATTAAGGAGGCTGAGATCTGAGGATCATGGTTAAAAACCAGCCTGGGCAAAAAACTCCATGAGACTCTTATCTCCAATAAACCACCAGAAAACTGAAGTGGCGCTGTGGCACAAGTGGTAGAGTGCTCACCTTGAGCTGAAGAGCACAGGGACAGCACCCAAACCCATGTCCTACAAAAAAAAAAGATGGGGGAAAAAGGAAGAATGGTGTTATGGCAGGAAAAGGAAGAATGGAGCATCTCCAGTATTATGGCAGGACTTTCACTGTGGGACTCTCCCCTCCAGGCCTGCCTCCTATGGCTGCCTAGTACTGGACTCTGCAGCCCTCAGATGTGGGGTTTATCTATTCCTGTCTGCACAACAGTGCCTACTGTGAATTCCCTTCCTCAGAATGGGAAAATGAAGCAAAGAGAGACCAAGGACGCCAACTATACACATTCTTAATTTAAGGATTATAAGTGGTAGGGTTGAAGTTCCTGCTCTCCTAAAACATCCATTTTTACCACTTCAAAAAAACAAATTAGAAGCTGGGGACCAGTGGCTCATTCCTATAATCCTAGTTACTTTGGTGGCTAAGATCTGAGGATCACAGTTCAAAACCAACCAGGGCAGGAAAGTCTGTGAAACTGTATTCTCCAATTAACTACCACAAAGCTGGAAGTGGCGCTGTGGCTCAAAATGGTAGAGTGCTAGCCTTGAGTGAAAGAGCTCAGGGACATCACCCAGGCCTTGAGATTCAAGCCCCATGATTGACAAAAAAGTAAAATAAAAATGAAAAATTAGGTGGAGTTTACAGGGAAGATGGTATTTTTTAAAACCACATTCTAGAAAAATATTTCAAAGAAAAAAAAAAGCCACAGTAGAGAATTAGGACAGAATGGTTCAGTAGACATGAAGTATAACAAAGTCAGTTATCTGGGCTAACATCATTTCTAACACACTACAATTTATTTGTAATACATGTCATGTAATAAGTGAATAATTTAAAAACTGGTTGCATTCATATCATTAGTTTTCATCTCAGAACCGTCACAGAAGTACAAATGAAACCTGTGATTCTGTGTACCCTGAAGGGCAGACAATAGTTTCTAAACTCTTCTGTTCTTCACTAGAAAGCAGCTGCATGAAGGTTAATAATGGTTCCTAAAGACCAAGTAAACTGTGAAGGCCACTTTTGTGACCAAAGATAAAATGCAAGGTACACAGACAATACAGTCTTTATTTATAAAATGTGAACATCTAATAGATTTCCATGACCAGACTATAGAGTTTTTAACATATTCTGAATCAGCCTTAAATGTTTATGAAATAATGCTTATACTAGACTTGGACATCCATTTGTAATATTACTCTTGAATTCTTCATCAATGCTAGCAAGTTCTTCTTAATCACCTAAATCCTAACATTGTATACATTAAAAAAAATTTTTTGGGGGGTGCTGGTCATGCGGCTTGAATTCAGAGCCTGGGCATTGTCCTTGAGTGTTTTTGCTCAAGGAGGCTAGTGCACTAACACTTGAACTATGACTCCACTTACCGCTTTTTGGTGATTGGAGATAGGAATCTCACAGACATGCCTAGGCTGGCTTTGAACCACAATCCTCAGATCTCAGCCTCTTCAATAGCTAGGATTATAAGCATGAACCATCAGCACATGGCTTAGAATGCATTTTTAAAGACTATGCTTAAATAGAAACCAAATCAACTGTTAAGCTGTTCTTGGCTCCAACCAGACAACAAATGTCATTGATGTGCCTGGTCATATTAGGCTTCTGTAAATATTCCTGTGTTGTTCATGTGTTTAAGTAAAATCCTGTTTCAAATGCTTTCGTAACACCCTGTCGATCTCTTTGGAAGTGACTGAGTTATCATCTATAAATTCAGATTTCTCCACTTGGCAATGTTTTGGGGCTTCTTTCTTGAACTGAGTATGGTATGAACTGAACATCCTTTCAACTCTGTCTCATTAAGTGTGATTTCACTCAGAGCAGTGCTGGGCTGCTGCCCTGCAGAGAAGAGGGCAACCATCAGCAGATACAAGGTATAATTAGCAGCATCTGGCAAGTAATGGTAAAGGAACTTCAGGTGTGGCAGGGCCAGAGCACCAGGCTGCTGCCAACACAGGGCCCTGCCAAGCACAAGTTGACCTCTGGGCCTGCAGTTAGCCAGAGAATTCTTTTCTTGTCCAATGTTGAGCAAGGGTACACATAAATTTACTATTAAATTATATTCTGGTATGTTTATTACTATCATTATTATTTGTATATGTGCCAATACTGGGAAGTGAACTTAGGGTCTACAGGCTGTCCATTAGCTTTATCACAGCTCCACGTCCAGCATTTTGCTAGGTAATTGGAAATAAGAGTCTCATGGACTTTCCTTCCTGGGCAATCTTCGAACCATGATTCTCAGATCTCAGCCTCTTGAATAGCTAGGATTACAGGACATGAGGCACTGGTGTCTAGTTTTGATATGTTTATTATTATTTCATAAAGGAAAACAAATCTTTTGCTTATTTCAAGTAGCTCTATGTCTTGTACTGTTGGCAGAGAAAGTTGTCTCTTCAAAGCTCTAAAAGGCCCTTTGCCATTCTTCCTAGTTCTTCCACGGCTCATCGATGAGGACACACATACATATGGCTTGCTAGTTTAATGGTGCTTCTTGTATATTGTATGTTGCTTCTTTTATAACATTTGTTGACCATTGTGTTCATGAGAGACTATCTCTACCAAATGCCACTTTCTGCACCAGCTGTGACCCCAACAGGGGTGCCTTAGCCAAGAGATTTGAAGAGATTTCCTCTTCAAAACAAAACTTTAGCAGGAAGAATTCAGAAGTCTCTGGCGAGCATTCTTTTCTTCATTATTTGCTTTAGTTTCATTGTGCAGGTTCAAATCTGTTAAAATTGAAAACACATGACATAGATGTAGTAGAAAATACTGGTACTAATCAGCTTCTCTCTGTGAAAAACGTTCTTGCCAGGCTCCAGAGGCTCATGCCTATAATCCTAGCTATGTTAAGAGGCTGAGATCTGGGAATCAAGTTTCAAAGCCAGCCCAACCAGTCAAATCTCAAGACAAAAAGCCAGATGTGGAGGTATGGCTCAGGTGGTGGAGTGTCAGCCTTGAGCAAAAAAGCCAAGCAATATTGAGAAGCCTGCAGTTTAAGCCTCAATACTAGAACACAAAACAACTTGCTTTCCTGCCTGGGCTGGCTTTGAACCATGATCCTCAGATCTCAGCCTCCTGAGCAGCTAGGATTACAGGTGTGAGCCACCAGCATCCAGCAACAACTTTTTTCTCACACTTTAATACTTGGCTTCACTATGTTTTGCTTTGTAGCCTAACTTTTCAAAGCACAGTGAAATCAAAGCAGTAATTAAATTGATAAATTATCAGTCCCTTTAAAGAGAAGGTCAGAGACAACAAGGGAACCAGAGATTACAGAGGCAAAAGCCATATGACAAGACAAATATAAGCAAGAAACACAACCAGGAAGAGTGCTGGAGCAAGATGACGAAGATTAGGCAGAGGACTGAGAAACAAGAGACACACCATCAGAAAAAGCACAACGTTCTTCCTCCTTGGAAGCACAAGGGAAGCATCAATTCATTCCTCCCCTCCCCTCAGTCTTGGGTTTCCCCTAGGACAGGACAATGATGGGCTAATGGCTCAAATGATAATAATGGTCAATACCGATAAGGAAATGCAGCAAAGATGCTCTAGGAACTCTGTGGCTGGGCTTGGAGAGCTGACCCTACCTGTGAGCTCAGCAATTTGGCTCTGCCGCTCCTCTTCCTTGGTTTCTGCTGACTTGGGCATTTTGCCATCCACAATATCCATCTTGATCATACCAAGATTGGTAAGAAGTAGCATTGGATCAATCCCTTGACCATTGCTTTTAATATTCTCCAGTACCTTCAGGCACTTGTATGATTTGAGTTCACTGATATTTTCCTCCAAGAAGAGATTGTAGAGGCTCAAGTCATTGTACCCTTCAGATTTGAAATGCAGGACATCAAATGTGGGCAGGATCTCATATACTTTGAGAATATCTGTCTTCTGCCGAAAGGGAACCAACAGCGTGTAGATTACCACAGGAGCCAAAAGAACATACACCATGAGGTTAATGAAGCTGAGCAGCTGGAAGATGCCGACTGCAATAAGTTTACACTGGAACTGATCAGGGATGGCGCTGTCATTTCTCAGGATTCCTGACTTGATGCTGCATACAAACTCATCTGAGAGCGAGGACAGGCTGAAGTAATAGCTCAGGTAGACGCTTGCTGACAATATGATTATCAGTGTCACTAGCCGGCAGCTGATGTACTTGAAGATTAAATTATTAGAGTTTTTCTTTGTCTTCAAGTATTGCTCTACAATTGGGTACTTGAAGTGACTTTCGGATATTTCCCACAAACTAAAAAGAAACAAAAATAATTTAGACCCTTCCTATGATAATCAATATTAAAGGCAGGCAGACATAATAATGTGAGACTAAAAAGTTTCAAACACCTTGCCAGGAACTGATGGCTCAGAACTGGAATCCTAGCTATTCAGAAGACTGAGATCTGAGGATTGCAATGCAAAGCCAGCCTGGGCCAGAAAGTCTAGGAAACTCTGATCTCGAATTAACCAGCAAAGAGTGAAGCTGTGCCTCAAGTGGTAAAGCACTAACGCTGAGCAAAAAACTCAGGAACAGCACCCTGTGGCCTGAGTTCAAACTGTGGGATCAGCACACACAAAAAAGTTTCAAACGCCCACTATACTTATAACTTCATCAGAGTATTGGGGAATAAAATGAGATTTTAAAAAGAGAGAGAGAACAGAACAATAATAAAACACTTTTTCTCAATATTTTAAAGAGCAGCTAATTAAATGAGTCTTTAAAAATTCTTTAAAAATGCCTAGCAACCTCATGCAAAATATTAAATAAATTTACCAGTTTCTGAATAGGAACTGTTGCTTTTTAAAAAAAAACTACCATTTTCTACTAAAGTATGCAGAATAAGGTAAGGAAATTTTCACCAAGTAGAATAATATACATATGATTCTACAGGAACAGCTGGAGACATGCAGTGAACATGTTCAAGGCTATGGAGACCAGGCTGGCATGGTGCTGGTCCCACAATCCCCTTTACAGCTACGAGACAGTATTTTTAATCTGGAAAAAAAGAAGGATGCTGGATGCTAGTGGCTCATGCCTGTCATCCTAGCTACTCAGGAAGACCATGGTTCAAAACCAGCATGAGCAGGAAAATCTGTGAGACTCTTATCTCTAACTACTAAAAAGCTGGAAGTGGAGCTGTGCCTCAAGTGATAGAGCACTAGCCTTGATCATGAAAGCTCAGGGACAGTGCCCAGGCCCTGAGTTCAAGCCCTAGGACCAGCACCAAAAAAAAAAAAAAAGAGGAACAAACAGATAATAAGTTAGCTAATAAGTTGCATTAAGGACATTCTCAAGAGTTAAATGGGATATTATGCTCATTTTGAAGCCAGCCTAAGCAGGAAAGTCCATGAAACTCTTATCTCCAATTAACCATCAAAAAGCCAGAAATGAAGGAGTTGCTCAAGTGGTAGAGTCCCAGCCTTGAATGGAAGAGCTAAGAGTGCCACTCAGGCCCTGAGTCCAAGTCCCAACACTGGCACTCACATATACACAAATGCACGCTCGCACCTACACAGACAAGGTAGATACCCACACTATCAATACTACTGGCAATAACATGAGCCAGAAGAAGAATGTGAAAAGGCAAGGCACTGTCTTCCTTTCTCAACCTTTCTCTAAGCTTGATGGTTCCAAAACCCTGCTTTCCCATTAAAGCAATTTATCTTTACATAGTACCCTGACCAGATACCCCTCTGAGGTCCATACTGCAAAGGAGGAGACAGAAATTTCATGTAGCAAAGAAAAGCATCCTAACACAGGAATAGGTACTATGCACACATGCATGGGGTAAGATCTGGGGTGACAGTGCACGTCTCTGACTCTCACAAACTGTCACTAGTTGGAAGATATACCTTTCTCCCACTGCCTGGAAATAGCATAAGGCCTAGATGAACAAGAGAAATGCCAGAGAACCTGTATTATAAAACTTCCTGGGGGCTGTTACCTTTGCCCTAGAGTCTCCTTAACACCAGGAGCGGGGCAGGCACCATCTCTCAGGTCCAGGTCACGTGCACTCTTGGCGGCCTTAATTGCACGGTTGTAAACTTTGTCAAGTTCTTCCATGATAAACTTCAAGTCTGAGCAAAGGTGAGGAGCAGCTGTGAAGCGCCAGAACAGTGCAGGCAGGTACAGGAGGATTGCAAATAATAATAGGATGTAGGGGAAAAACTGAAAAAAATAAGACAAGTCATAGGTTAACAGACCCTCTCACTACAGCAGCCTAACCCTGCTAAGTGCTTCTCATTCCTTCTCATTCTGAGACAAACCCATTTACTCACGTTCCTTGTGGAAACTGTGCTCACTACTACTTATGGCTAAAGTAATACTTAAAGAGGTACTTTTTGGTAGTCATTTGTATGAAGTAACTGGAAACTAGATATAGATAGACAGGCAGACAGACAGACAGACAGATAGGTAGATGGTATTTCCTTTTTGATCACAGGAGGAAAACAGCTCCTGTATTCTGTAGTATAATATCTGAACAAAATCCTAATTATGAAACAGGTGAACATCACAATGGCCTTTGATAGTTTTTTTATTTGTTTTATCACTTTGTGTGTGTGGAGGTTGTACATGCTGCGTATAGTCTCAACTGCTTGAGTCACAACTACAGCTTAGCATTTTGTTGGTTAACTAGAAATGGAGTTTCTTGGAATGTTCCACCTGGACTAGCTTCAAACTATGATCCTCTAGATCCCTGCCTCTTGAGTAGCTAGGATTACAGGTATAAGCTATGAGCACCTGGCTACTTTCTGTTTGTTTTTTTGTTTGCTTTTTGTCGGTCGTGGGTCTTGAACTCTGGGCCTGGGTGCTGTCCCTCAGTTCTTCAGCTCAAGGTTAGTGCTCTACCACTTGAGCCACAGCACCACTTCCTACTTTGTGTTTTTAAGAGGCAATATGGCTTTCAAGCTTTGGTTTTGTTCCTCTCTAAAATCTGGGAAATTGACCAAAAAAAAGTGGTTAATTTTGCCTTCAGTAATCCAGTAATTACCCTCAATGAAACAGCTGAAATACACAGTTAAAATTCACAGAATGTGGAAGGGGCCACAGTACTGGATCAGACCTGGAGGACAGTCCAAAGTTCTCTTCCTCCTTCTCTATAGTTGGATACTATGAAGTCCAAAGAACCCAACAACTACAGGAAAAAGAACCAAAAGGAGGATACCAGGTCTAAGGACAAAGGTCGAAGGACAAAGACAGTAAGGACCCTGTGGAAGCTTGTCCACTGGGTGCTTAGCAGAGCCTTAGACAAACCATCACCAGTCAGCACTGAGCTTGCTCAGCTGAGAAAAAAGACCAACTTTTGAGATGAGTACATCACCTTTGGTCCTCACGATGTCCTTGGCAAGGCTGTGTGGATGGCTCCGTTATGCCAAGGGGTAGCTTGGTGCCAGATCACAAAACCAGAGCCAGACTATGACCCCTGAACTATGACCAAAGAGCCATGCCTTCTCTGTGGCTCTACATCATGTTCCTTCTCTGGAAACTTCTCTCTCGTTTTGTTTGGATTTCTCTTTCTCTGCAGTTCCTTGCAGTGGTAACTGGACGAAGTCACAATGGCCTTAATGCATCACCTCCATGCCACACGTCTCTGGAAATGAGCCATGGAGCTCACATCAGGACTTCCCTGTGATTGCCCATGTACAGAGAAGCTACACGGACCTACAGAACATCCTTTGATCTCTTCACCCAATTTGCTCTACTGAGAGTATCTTACATGGAACCACCGAGAGCTGCCATCGGCACATTACTATGAACTAATAAACTTTTACTTGTATTTCACTGGTTCTTCCATTGTTGTCTTCTTTCTATTCCAAAACCCAATTTGGGGTACCCACTGAGGTAGGCTGCTAGAATTTTCTTGGTTTGTGAAAGTTTCTCAATCTTCCCTTGCTTTTCATGAAATTTATTCGTTTTGGCAGTACTAGAGTTTGAACTCAGTGTCTTATGCTTGTTAGGCTGGTGCTCTACTACTTGAGCTATACCTCCAGTCCTGTTTTTTGCTAGTGATTTTGGAGATGGAGTTTAGTGAACTTTTGTGCCCGGGCTGGCCTCAAACTGTTGCATGAATCCCCAATGCCACAGTGAAAATAATGCCCCATGTGCTGCTTTATATACCAAATAGTGTCCAACAGACCATCCAATAACTATTTTCATAGAGTAAACAATTCCAAGTTATCTTAGAATTCTTGGGTATCTATGATTTCCATATATTGTTGCCTATTACTATTTTTTAAGATTATAATTTTTTATTGTGAAAATACCATACAGAGGGATTACAATTAAATGGGCAATGTAATGAGTACATTTCTTATCAAGCATTGTTGCCTTTTCCTTTGTTTCCCCTTCCCATCCCTTCCCATCCCCTCCCCATCCCCCACCTCCCACCAAAGTTGTAAAGTTCGTTTTTTGACATAAGGTCTTATACATCTCATTGTTGCAATGGGTCCACCTGTATCCCTATTTAAACAATTTGTGTTTTTCCTTCCCCTCTACACAGTATACCAACATCAAATACAGTGAAAGCAGGGGTTATACCATGGGGGAGGGACATACAAAGCAACAAAGAAACCATCTTATAAATATGTTAGAAACAATCTCAAGAAAGAAAAAAATTTGAATCCTTATCTTGGGGTTCATTTCACCTCACATCAACTTATCTGACTGTTTCTGCTTGAGATTATAATTTTTATTATTAGTGTTGTTGTTATTAAGGAGTTGTACAAAGGATTACAATTCTTAAGTCAGGTTATGAGTACAATGCTTCTTGGTCAACATCATCCCTTCCTTTGTTCCTACTACTTTTAATGTTAAATTTTGTTTAAAAGTCAATGAAAAATAAAGGTCTTAGCTATTTTCTTTCCTATCCTTGTTGCCAGACCTCCTGATAGCATTGTGAGTCCAACTCTCTTTACTCCGTAAGAGAGAGAAGTGAGCCGGGCACGGGTGGCTCATGCCAATAACAATAGCTACTCAAGAAGATCGCAGTTCAAAGCCAGCCCAGGAAGAAAAGTTCCCATGAGACTCTTATCTCCAATTAAACACTCAAAAACTGGAAGTGGCACTGTGGCTCAAATGGTAGAGCACTACTAGTCTTGAGCACAAAGAGGCTCAAGGACAGTTCTCAGGCCCTGAGTTCAAACCCCACGACTGATGGAAGGAAGGGGGAAAAAGAGAGAGGGGAGAGAGGGAAGGGGGGGGAGAGGGGGAGAGAGAGAGAGAGAGAGAGAGAGAAGGAGAGGAAGAAGGGAGAGGGAGGGGAGAGGGGAAAGGGAGAATTCTACCTTCTCACAGCTTCACTTTGGGGTTCTAGCCTGGGATAGTCTCAAAATTAAATTAATGTGCCAAGAGCTGACCGACCCATAGCAACACACAAAGCACTCACTCTGTTACTAACTGTCTGGCTATGGGATGCATAGTTCACACAGTTAGTTGGCTAGTGGAAGAAGCAATGTTCACTCAATCCTTGCCCAGTTTGACAGCTGTTATTATAGAAATTGCACAACAGCTTGTACGGCTTCCACAACTAAAGATTCAGGCTTTTTTTTTTTCTGGAAACCATGGGAGTGAAATTATTTCTAACTTGGGCTTGTGAAATATTTTTGTAAGTCACTTTTGTTTCAATGCTATTTGAATAACAGCATTTACCTCAAACTGTTCTCCTAAATTAAAAACAGTTCACATACCCAAGTGGTGCAATAATTAGCACCAAAGAACAATTCAACACAGTTCATTGTAATTAGGAAAATGAATGTTTAAAAGTATTACACACCAAGTATTTGCTCTTTTCCTAAAATACCCTTGTACTTTGACCACCTCTGCAGGAATGTAGCTGAAAATCCAATTTTCTGGTTTTCTTTAAGAGTTAAACTTTCTTCACCACCCCCATCAAAAACAAAGAGGCCATTTTTAGTGTGCCTTTAACAAGGTAGCAAAACCAATTCAATTGAAACAAGAATTCAAAAAAATACTATAGTATTTAAAGAGCTTGAAAAAAAAAAAAGTCCTCCACTTTAAGAGGGCAACTACCAGACCAGAAACTTCTTCCTAAGCTCTGCCTACTCCATTTTAGAGCGGAGATGCTTAGTATCTCTCAAAACTCTACCTGCCCTCTTATCTAAACATCTCAGTTAGCACTGACCTCCTCAACAAAGTGACAGTCTTCAAAGCAATGGGGAATGAAGTAGCTGTTCCAATCACAACTTCGGCCTATTGGCTTTAAGTGTTCAGTTTGGGAAGATGAACCAAGAGGATCACCAGTTTAAAGCCAGCATGAGCTATACAGCAAAACCTTGTCTAAAAAACAAATGAATGTGGGCCAAAGGGAAATCTATTACATTGTTGGTGGGAATGTAAACTTGTTCAACTGCTCTGGAAAGCAGTGTACAGGTTCCTCAAAAAATTAAACACAGAACTACCTTATGATTCAGCAATTCTACTCTTGGGCATTTATCGAAGATTATAAACCAGGATACACTAAAACAACCAGCACAACCATGTTCATTGTAGCACTACTTCCATAGCCAAGGTATGGCCTCAGCCCAGATGTCCCTCAAGGGATGACGGATGGATCAAAAAAATCGGGTATACGTACACAATGGAATTTTACTCATTCTTTAGAAAGAATGACAGTGCATCATTTGCAAAGAAATGGAATGACCTGGAAAAATGATAATGAAGTAAGTCAGGCCTAGAGAAACAAAGGTTGCAAATTTTTCCTATGTGGAAGCTAGAATTAGTTTATAAACAAGTAAATATGTTAGGTAGTATGCAAGGAAGAATATAAAAATTTATTAATTGAAATATAGTAGATTCAGGGAAAAACAGTAACTGTAATACCTAGGAAAGGCAAAATCATAGTTCAACAAAATAAACACCAGGAAAAGAATACTTGAAAGGGATAGGGTGGGGTCAAGGAGAGGTAGGTAGATGAAAGAAGAGAAGAAAAGGAGGAGAATGCAGTAAAAAAAAATTGAACATATATCCTACAAAATTAAGAAAAGTGAGGTAAGGAATGGGTTAAAAGGAATGGGTGAGAATGTTGAAAAGGATGATATTGATCAAGACATGCTGAATTCATTCATAAACTGCTTTCTTGAATGGCAACTCCTTTGTATAATTACTTAAAGATTAAAAAAACAAAGAACTGGGAGCTGTTAGCTCATGCC